CTAGGGATAAGAAAAAAAAAAAAACAACTTTAATTTACTTTAAATTGAGAAAAAGTCATCTCTCCTGATTGTGCAATTAAAAGTTCTTAATGTACAATTTCACTTTTTAACTATTTTTTCACATTAAAAAGGTAATTTTCGAGATAATATATACACTATAAACGCATATATACACTCGTAAAGAAGAGCTGTAGGTCGAAAGCTTGTCCCACCTTTTATTTTTTTAAATAAATTAAACAAGAAACTTTATGGACAGTATTTTTCCATTAGTATTCAATAAAATTTTCCTGTAAATAAGAATTTCTATAAATATATTTTATTTTTATTATTTTTAAAAACACCATGTAACTATATATATATATTATATTCATGATATACAAATTTGCGAAATAGGTTTTTAAGTATGTATATATGTTTTAAAAAGTTGTCTTTAAGGCAAAATTGGTAAAATTTTTCAAAATTCTTTTGATTAATAAATCAATTTATAGCGGATAAAAAATGTACGCAATTATATATTACCTTCAATAATTATTGATATAGATTATAATCTATTGTCTTTTTTATATGCTAGTTTTTTAAAAGAATGAAAATTAATGATATATCGATAATTGAAAAAAAAAAAAAGAATTATTTTGAAAGAGTAACCTTTAAAACTAATAAGAGTATTATAAAAAAATTTCAAAGTGAGCACGCTTTTTTAAAAATTCTTAGATATTCCTATAATAATGAAAAATATGGAAATTTTTATAATCATAATAAAAGAAAATAATAAATGATAGGATAAGTCTTTTTTTTTTTTAAATGAGCACCTTTAACATTTTCGCAAGCTGTTTTCATAATTACATAATTTATATCATTGGTCCCACTCTATATCTGAGTGAAGAGAAAAAAAAATCATCATATACACCGTAAATATGTAAATAAAAAATAATCATTTAAAAGCTTTAGTATTGTACAAGTGTTTCAATTCTAAATGTCAATTTTTAAACTTTTTTTTAAACCAAACGAACTCAAATAAATGATCGTCTGTTATCCATATTACATATAAGCTAACCACCAAATTCTGCTAAAAAACAAACATTATAGGTGAAAGCACTCTTTGGTACACAAAATATATCTCCAAAAAGCATATTTTAAAAAAGAAACAACCTTTTTTTAAAGTGAATTTTTATCGAAAAAGCACATTTTGGAATAACATGGAGCTTCATTTTTTTCTTCTGCGGGTTATAGCTAGTCATAAAAATAGCCGATTTGTTTTCATAGAAAAATAATAATGTGCCTGTTATAGAATTTGTGATATATACATTAATATATGGCGTATATGGTAAACGTAAACATTTCAGCACATTTATGTACATTAGGTAAAAAAACAAAGGATATAGAAATATATTTACTTGTATATAGAGAGATATTAAGACAGCCAAACATATATTTACATATATATAATGTATGATATGGTTTGTTTCGTTGCCCACAATCCTCAACACGTGGTTCAATGGAAAGATAAATTGTACACCCATATACCATAAGACTTCTGTTTATTATTATTATTAGTACCCATATATTCAAGTATATAACTTTGTTATTTCTTTTCTATATAGCACTTATTTGCAGTTTTAATTCTAAACAAATACGCAAATAAGTTTAATTTTAATATTTTCTTGGTATATATATGCAAATAAGTATATTTTAAATATTTTTCTTGATATATATGCAAATAAGTTTAATTTTAATATTTTTCTTGGTATATATGCAAGTAAGTTTAATTTTAATATATTTTTTTCTTTTGTAGTATGCAAATATATGCTTAGTTATAATATAAAATTTTCGGTATATATGCAAATAATTTTAGTTTTTTTAAATATTATTTTTACTTTTCTGTATATATATATGCAAATAAGTGTATTTAAATAAAATAATATATAATAAAATAATAATAAAATAAGCTATCTTTTTTTTTTTTCGTAGATGTTAATCTAGTACCGGTCGAAGAAGGAATTAATACGAAAGCTTTTGTACAAATATAAAAAGAAAAACTTAAACCCCCTTTTATATAAACTCTCTTAGAACGATCGCTAATTGATTTTTGATCAAGAAACAATAAGATAAAGGTAAATTTTTATACAATATAATACGGCTTATGATTGTAGAACGACATTTGAAAATTATCCCGCATGTGTTTCTTTTGAACGAAAAATCGAAATTTATTTTAAGGAGAAATAACGATTATTTCTAACCTTAAGGATGAAGTATGAAAGGATGAATTGTGAAGAGTAATGATAAACGGATAAATAAAAGTGTCCAGGGATGGAAAACGAACCCACAGTGTTCCGTTTACCGGGCAGATGCCATCCCTGGACATTTTTATTTTCCCGTTTATCATTACTCTTCACAATTCATCCTTTCATACTTCATCCTTAAGGTTAGAAATAATCGTTATTTCTCCTTAAAATAAGTTTCGATTTTTCGTTCAAAAGAAACACATGCGGGATAATTTTCAAATGTCGTTCTATAAAGGTAAATTAATTGATATATAATGAATAACATTAATTTTTTAATGAAAAACATCATTTAGACATGGCTTAACATATTTAACCAAACACTTTGCCTATAACAATAAAACACGATATCTTTGAAAAAATGTAATTTTTACTAATTTAAATTCTAATTTAAATACTAATTTAAATAATACTAATTTACTATATAATTATAATTATAAAATTATAATTATAATTTACTATATAATTATAATTACTATATAATTTACTAATAATACTAATTTAAATAATACTAATTTAAAATCTAATTTTTAAAAAAATGATTGGTGGCTTGCGCCATCTAGAGGAATAAATATCAACTGAACGTTGATTTGGATTTATTACACACTATTGGCCAAAATACCCATTTTATTATTAAATCAAGAGAAATCGAACAAATGTACGCGTTTCGGGCTGTTTGCCCTCGTCATCCTGGTGCAGGCTGTGACTTAACTACACATAAAGGTAAATCAAATAGACTTATATAAAAAAAATAAAGACAGGGATATTTAACAGCTTGATCTATAAGTCTTGTCTTACATTTTTCTTTGATCTTAATGTAGAAAAAAAGTAGATAATCTTTTTTTAACATGATAATTTGTGAAGTGTTGGCAGGATAGCCATATATAGTTGAGAAAAGCTGTAGAAAACAAGAATGTTCCTATATGCAACATTCCGTACATTGAGAAAATATGGAATTTCAGAGGAAAAACATCTTATAGAGAGGGGATGTAAAAGAATGGATTTGTGGCGAAATGAATGTCAATATATACCAATGGAAAAAATTTCCATCTATATTTTAGCCATAGATTTGGCCCAGCCACTTCGCCAGCTAAACACCTCTTTGGCAGATTGTCAATATTCCATTAGATCCCGTGTGGATCTCATGGAATAAAGTCCGCCCTAGACTGACGAGGGCCATTAGCCCGAAACCATGGTCTCTAGGTGGACGCTTTTCAGTTTGCCAAAGCTGGTGTTGTGGCTTTGTCACCGACCTGAGGCCGCTAGTTGCGGCGACGGTCAATAGATGGCGTATAGTTTTGACGTCTATTTTGACGGGTGAGGCGACCCGTGTCTCTTTAGATATACCAATATGTATATGCATATGTATTCGATATGCAACACAAGTTTTTTTTTTGTGTCAGGCGTATTCTCTCTCTCTATGATTGATAAAATACTCCTCAACAGACTTATTTATAAATAGATTGGGCGAGAGCAATACTCCAAGCATATATTTGCATATATTTCTACTTCTTCCAAAACTTATTTGCATATTTACCCCTTATATATGAAGTGCGGGTATAGTCAAATATAATATTAAAACTGTATGATAAATTAAACTGGCGAAACCGCGGTGGGTTCAACTCACAGATGAGCTAAGGTTATCTCAAATTTATATATTTTTTATCATTGCACTAAGAGTACTATTGGAAATTATTTTTAAGTGAATAATAAAAGTAAACGATTTTTTCATTTCATAAGTTTTTTTTTTGTCTCTATTGGCGAGTTTTCTGTAACAGCATTGTCACCATTGTTGCAGTACTGGGTCTTCTACTCCAGAAAAGTACTCGACGTTTTTTTTTACTGCAGTACTTCATAATTGAATAGGCTTCTAGTGATAGTCAACACTCAAGTAGATAAGAAAGTTTTTTTGAAGCCCTATTGCACCAAACTAGAAAAACTTTCTGAACCCAAAAGACGTGAATAAAGCAAAATATTCAGTAAAAAGCAACAACAAGAAAGTTGAAACACTGGGAATTTCTAATCATTACGAAAAAACTTAATATTCGAATGTATGGAAAGAATTTGAATCAAAATTTTGATAGGAGCGGACAACTTTTTTTTTATGCGTCACTAGCATTCTATTTAACTTTTTGTAGAACGACTTTGGACAAGTTTTACCGTAAATGTTTCTTTTGAACGAAAAATCGTAATTTATTTTAAGGAGAAATAACGACTATTTCTATCCTTAGGGATGAAGTATGGAAGGATGAATTGTGAAGAGTAATGATAAACGGAAAAATAAAAGTGTCCAGGGATGGGATTATTTTTCCGTTTATCATTACCCTTCACAATTCATCCTTCCATACTTCATCCTTAAAGATAGAAATAGTCGTTATTTCTCTTTAAAATAAATTACGATTTTTCGTTCAAAAGAAACATTTGCGGTGAAACTTGTCCAACGTTGCATTATATTGTATTATATATTTAACTTTATTCAGATCTAAGATAGGCAATCCATTTAACCAGCTTAAACACGTTTTTGGAAAATTTGATCGATTCCATAACTCCTCCAGTAGGATGTTGTAAAATTGAAGTTTCCTCGGTACTGATAAAGGCCAATGGTCCGAAACCATGGAATACAGGTTGTTGGCTGTTGTCTGAATTTGTCTAAACTGGTGTTGTGACTTAGTCACTGACATAAACCCCTTTCTCAGAGATTTAAAAAGATGCATGGGGGGGGTCGGTGGAAGGCTGGTTAAACCGTTTGGTTTACGACCACTACGACCCGGGTTCGATCCCCGGATTGGACACTTTTTTTCTGTTTAAAAAAAAAAAAAATGCTCCAATGGCCCCCCGATTCTTGCAAAAGTCCAACCCCACCAGCGAGTGCAAGTAACCAAACGGGGCTCTGGCACATTTGTAAGTGCAAAGTCGAACTGCTTTCACATGTGTAGATATGTGGTGCACTTACAGTAAAAGCAGTCGCTAACTACCCACCATGATTATCATGGCCTGTACCATGTGTACTAGGGATAAGCAAAAAAAAAAAGATGCATGGATTAAAAGGAGGAATGGTCTTTTTGCACAGGAATGCCATTCTCCAGAATTATTATAATACAAATTTTAAATACAGTTGAACTACCTCTCTTTAAAGGACGACACTTAGTTTTATAGTTAATATGTTTTTTAGAGAGAGATGTTTTTTTACAGGAAATCAGCTGATTGGTAAAAAAAAACTGGTAATTTTGTTGATGAAAACTGTCTTTTTCTGTAACGAGGTGTTTGTGCTAGCAAGAGTATCCTCTCATGGAAGTTGTAGTACTGTAAATAATTGTTGAAAGAAGATAAATATGCTATTGATGGTAACAATGCTGTTACAGAGAGAGAGATGTAATACGGGTCAGTATTGATTCCCCCCGTGTAACAGAATGAAAAGTTTGAGAATGGAACCGTGTTGAGGCAAGGCAACGTTCGTAAGTTGGAGTGAGCAGCACAACACGCCGTGGTGGATTTGGCACGGGACGGGGGTCATACGCGTAGATGAGGACCTGGTGCCAGGAGGACGCTGGTCTCACTCTCCTCACTGCGACACAAATAGTTATCATAATTATGATTGATAATAATAATCATCATTTGAGGCGATCCATTGAATATAATATTCTAAAAAAAAGGACACACCTGAATATCTGTGAAAGATAAAAATATATGTATATTTTATATGTTATAAAAACAAATGAGATTTGATTTTCTGCTTGAATTTTAGATTATTTTGATTTTGGTTATCTTAAGAATTAAGCTATGGTGGTGCAGTCGTGATTGAATAATAATCTTGATAAAAATTGTTATTAAAAATAGCTTTAATTGATCTTATGGAATATATAAAAAAAAACATGGCTTGACAAAAGCACTGCCTGGCTTAACGCGTAAGAATAAAAAAATGAAAAGCTTATTTACATAATGTACAAAAGTTTTAGCTGGCCATCGGGGAACAACAATGAGTTTATATAGTGGAAGCGTGACCTCTGGCGGTCGATTTAACAGAGTATTTGTATCTATGAAATATATAATTTTTTAAATAAAATAATATTTTTATATAACATATATATATATATATATTTTAAGGGATTGCTCTCTATGGAAAATTACTTTTACAAGTTTTTTTTTTTAATAAATCCTTGAATATTTTTAATTATTACCAGTTGCAAATAAGACACGCTATATCCGATCTGGATAATTGCGCGTGAAACTATTTACAATAATTGTAGTAGAGTAGGTAACACAGAATTGTCAAAAAGAAAATGAACAATTAAGAAAAAGAGCATTGAATAAACATATACATTAAACAAATAAGCAACAACATAAGCAGATAGAAGAAATCGCAATGAATATTTAGAAAAATTTTCTTTTTATTTCACAGATACAGATACGCCATTTTATACGTATATAATCCAATACATATTTGTTTTTCTAAGAGTGAATGGCGGTGTACGAGTAGGTAACACCCTCGATTCCCGACAGCCATGAACCGGGATTGAATCCCACGTTAACATTTTGTTTAATATGTGAATAACCTTCACATATTATTTATTGTTTCAATTATCATAAACTAGGTTGCTCTTGTTGAGCGGTACCTAATAAAGTGATTTTGGAACAAGAATGAGTAAATGGCCATCATATTTACATATGCGCTATCTGTTTACGCGGAAGATGAACACTGCTATCTACTTTCGGCAGTTTTCCCGGGTCGTACTCCTGCTGACATCCGCCATGGAGTGGACCGACCATCTCACACCATCTACAGTCATCAGTGGTGAATTTTCACAACATCTCGCCAGTAGGAAATTATTTGTAATTGATATAAAAAAGTAGCAATGATATACTAATGTCAAGGATTTCCCTTGTCAAATAGGTACTAGGATTAGCGCTACCAATAGCAATCACGCGAAAAGTGCAGTTTTCTATCTAAACTGCATGCCAAAACAAGCTTCTTTTATAAAGTCAATTTTGGCTATTTATTTACATAAAAAATATTATAAGAAAATTTACATAACAAATTTGAAATATTATGCAGTGACAATAATAATACCACACAAATCATGATTATTCTAAACAAAATGTCAAGATGTCAGATACAAGTATATATACCATAGGTGTATACGGACGGTTTAACTGAAATCATCCTACCTCCAATTCTAGAACAGAACAGTCCCTGCACTCTACAGTCCAATCAGCTGTACCTGACGTCATCCTCCACGAGGGCCTCCTGGCGTCGGAGGAGCGGCTGTCGAGGTCCCCGGACCCTCAGGACGCTGGACTCCTCCTCCTCACTCTCGCTGGGGTGGGAACTCTCGAGAGAGGCCAGCTGGGGGATGGGGGACCTGTGCATATTGGCTGGTTGGTTGGTGGTTTGGTAGGGCATATGCAAATGTATATGCATATAAGGAAGATTGGGCTTGAAAATCATACTTTAGGTTAGCAGCCCGTAAAACTCTAGAGGGAGGCCAGCTGGGGGACCAGTGCATAGTGGCTGGTGGTGGTAGGGCATATGCAAATGTATATGCATATAAAGTAGATTGGGCTTGAAAATCATACTTTAGGTTAGCAGCCCGTAAAACTCTAGAGGGAGGCCAGCTGGGGGACCTGTGCATAGTGGCTGGTGGTGGTAGGGCATATGCAAATGTATATGCATATAAGGTAGATTGGGCTTGAAAATCATACTTTAGGTTAGCAGCCCGTAAAACTCTAGAGGGAGGCCAGCTGGGGGACCTGTGCATAGTGGCTGGTGGTGGTAGGGCATATGCAAATGTATATGCATATAAAGAAGATTGGGCTAAAAAATCATAAACTTAGGTTAGCAGCCCGTAAAACTCTCGGGGGAGGCCAGCTGGGGGACCTATGCTTAGTGACTGGTTGGTGATGGTTTGGTAGGGCATATGCAAATGTATATGCATATAAGGAAGATTGGGCTCAAAAATCATAAACTTTGGTTAGCAGCCCGTAAAACTCTCGGGGGAGGCCAGCTGGGGAATGGGGGACCTGTGCATAGTGACTGGTTGGTGATGGCTTGGTAGGGCATATGCAAATGTATATGCATATAAAGTAGATTGGGCTTGAAAATCATACTTTAGGTTAGCAGCCCGTAAAACTCTAGAGGGAGGCCAGCTGGGGGACCTGTGCATAGTGGCTGGTGGTGGTAGGGCATATGCAAATGTATATGCATATAAGGTAGATTGGGCTTGAAAATCATACTTTAGGTTAGCAGCACGTAAAACTCTAGAGGGAGGCCAGCTGGGGGACCTGTGCATAGTGGCTGGTGGTGGTAGGGCATATGCAAATGTATATGCATATAAAGAAGATTGGGCTCAAAAATCATAAACTTAGGTTAGCAGCCCGTAAAACTCTCGGGGGAGGCCAGATGGGGGACCTATGCTTAGTGACTGGTTGGTGATGGTTTGGTAGGGCATATGCAAATGTATATGCATATAAGGAAGATTGGGCTCAAAAATCATAAACTTTGGTTAGCAGCCCGTAAAACTCTCGGGGGAGGCCAGCTGGGGAATGGGGGACCTGTGCATAGTGACTGGTTGGTGATGGCTTGGTAGGGCATATGCAAATGTATATGCATATAAAGAAGATTGGGCTCGAAAATCATAAACTTAGGTTAGCAGCCCGTAAAACACATTTTCTCTATAAGAAAGATGGCGCATAGATTTTACGTTTATTTTGATTGAAGAGGAACGCTCCCTTTATATAAATCAAAATAGATAATATCTTAGAGGATGTAACAATTCAATGCTATTGTTTTTTTTTAATATAAAGGACGGATTTCTACTATTATTGAACTGAATATGAAAAAGAAATTGAGAAGGCTTGGCTCATCAGTAATGAACCCTACCATTTCGCCGACTTTATCCACCAGATC